GGGGGCGATATGCTGACTCTGTAAACCGCTTAGAGAGGGCTGAAAGCCCTAGGAAGCGGTATATAAGTCTAACTGCTATTGCTATTGCTATAGAAAATACTAACTCAAGGCAAACAATCACACATTAATCTGCAGCCTAATTAAGGACTCGCCAAGAGCATTCCCGCCAATACTGACAGGGCAAGATACCGTATTTTTTGGAGTATAAGACACACCTCCCCCCTCCCCCAAAATGCTGCAGTCATAAAAAAGATATCAGAAAAAAAGGATTTTAAATAAGAAACAGCCCTGTTTACACTCCTTGAAAGCGTGAAAGCCGAGCCAAAGATTTTGCTGTGTGTAATAAAAAGGGAAGGTGGGGGGAGATTTCACACTCTTGAAAACAACTAACAACAACGCTGGTGTGGAATCTTAGGTGGCCTCAGCACGTGGCCAGGATCCCTTCGGCTTTCCTCTCCTCTTTTAACTCAACCTCTTCCCGATTCACTCCTGCGTCGGCTTTGCAAATAAGTCGTAGCTGCAACCGGTAGTTTCTGTGTTTCTGCTTCCCACCCACCCACCCACCCACGATGCTCCTGTCAACACCCCCCCTGGAGAATCCAAAATAGAACTCCAGCTTCATCCCATTTCCGAAAATCTTACTGTTTATTGCAGGGGTCCCCAAACACTTTCGGACCTCAAGGGACCACTAAATTCATAATTTGAAATCCCGCGGACCACTAATACGATCTGCCTAATGACTGGCTGGGTGGGCGTGGCCAGGTGGTCATGTGACTGGATGGGCGTGGCCAGGTGGTCATGTGACTGGGTGGGCATGGCCAACTCACTGTCGCTCACATTGAGGGGCACCTCGCCAGCCTCTACTCGCCCCTCCCTTCCCAGCCCCTCCTCGCCTGCCCGCCGGGGCTCCTTAGGGCCCCAACAGGAAGCAGTTGCTGGAGCTGAGCAGCCGCCAGAAGAAAGAGTTGGCAAAACAGCTCAGTTCAAATTGGATCTGGCCAAGGAGGCGGCTCAGCAGAAGCACCCCACTGAGGACTAGGAGCACGGGCTTTCGAAGCAGAGGGAAGACCTGCGGGAGCGCAAGGCCAGGTGCCGGTGCCTAGAGGCTCAGCGGGCTGAGATGGTCAGCCAGTTCCAGGCCGTGATGCAGCCCCACTGGAACGAGGCCCTTTTTAAAAAAAAGTTTTTTTTTATTGAACACAAATTAAAACATTGGACACGGTGTAACCATCCTGGCAAAGTCTTTGCCATACATACTAAGATATAAAGTTATACATTATGACCACCATGCTTATTTAAAATTGGCCTGTTCAGTATTTACAAATATAAAAATATTGTATTTCCAACCACATCTTCACTGGTTTCATAGATAATTTTAATCTCCATTCTATAAATTTTAGTCGTTGCTTATTTTGGGGGGGGGGGGGGTCTTTCCTTTTTTGTTCCAATCCTCGATAAAATTTATCCCAGATCTTATAAATATTCTGATTCGTCTTTGTTCTTCAATTCCAACATCAATGTATCCATTTCAGCACAAGTCAGAATTTACCTAATTACTTCCTCTTCTTGTGGAATTTCCCTGTTTTTCCAGTTTTGGGCAAAGATCATTCTTGCTGCCATGATAATATGTCTTATTAAGTAGATTTCTCCCTTGTTATGTTTATGATTCCCCAAAGAAATAGTTCTTGTTTGAATTCTATTTCCTCTTCCGTTATCTCTATCAGCCACCTTTGAATTGTCCGCCAATATTCTTTTGCTTTTTGGCATGACCACCACATAGGGTAGTACATGGGCATAGCCAACTCGATGTCACTCATGTCGGGGGGCACCTCTCGTGACCAAGTGCAAAGGGAGGATTCCCACAGACCCTCCCTCGCTCTCATTATTATTACTTTAAACTAGTTTTATTGCAATTTTTTTCTTTTTTTCCAACATAACATACTTTATGGGACAGAACGTTGAGCGAGTCACATCTTATACATCACGTTTATAATCATAGTTTCAATATATTCTAATCTTCCCACTTTTATGAATATTCATCTCTTTTATATAATCCTTTGTCTTTTCCCATCAATTCATTTAGTCTTACATATCATTGCTAAACACCTTTTTTGGGGTCTTCAACTAATTACTTTTAATATCTCAGGGGTTGCCACAAAGAAGAGGGAGTCAAGCTATTCTCCAAAGTATCTGAGGGCAGGACAAGAAGCAATGGGTGGAAACTAATCCAGGAGAGAAGCAACTTAGAACT